TCCCTTGCTATCTTTTGTTCCAGCTGTGGAGAGTCAGTGGGATGCCAAAATGTGTGAAGAGTCATGATGATTTTGGCATAGCTGTATTTTATAAAAAAGTGAAGGAATTTGATGAGAGTTGTGAAAACGCTGGGGACAGCAATGGAACCACCCTCATGGGCAGCAGCATCCCCTCTGTGATCCCAATGTGGAAGTGCTGTTACTCACTTGTGTCACCAGTATTAAAGTCCACCAGGGATAGAGCATTCAGTGCTTAGACCATACTGTTCAACAGTAGTTTAAAAATGATGATGACACTGACTTCTGATGAGTAAGGGCATAGCAGGAGAGGGGTTGTGGGAATCTGATCAAAATTCCAAAGACTGAGAGAAGATACACCAAAAACTACCACAATAGTAATAGAAGCTCCACAATTTGTGGTGCCTTTGCAGAGGTTTGCTGGTAGCATCTCCACTGAAAAATAGTATATGTGCTTTGGAAAATTAGTGATTTGTGTGGGTACAAAAGAAGAGAAATGCATGAAGCAGCTATAACAAAACTGTGGATGCACAATTCGTAGTATAGCCATTCCCAGTCTAAATGGAAGATTGCAGTGTAAAATAACTTTCAAACTTAAAAGAACTTCCAAACTTAGACAAACCATAACACATACTCTGATGTTAATATCATCTGAACTTTCTGAAGTTCATAAAGTGTATTGTTGGAACTAATTAATGTGCTGCCTTTTTTTTATATTCCAAAGACCTCAAGTTAGTAGTTTGGAAATTAACTCTGCTTCATGTTTAGATACAAATTGGAGATAATTAGAAATGCTGAGGTACCATACAGGTTAAGTGTGCACCATTATTTGAGCTATATAATGCATTTTAGTGGTGGCTGATAAAGTGCAAAGTAAGCTGGACAGAGACGTTCTTTTCCATTCTACATTAAATCTGTAGGCATAAATAGAGCTACATTTTTCTACTTCAGTTAAAAGAAAATGAAACCCTTCATAAGATGCTACAAGAAGTAATCTACTACTGCTGACAGTGGCATCTCCTCATGACTACATGTGTTAGGTTTTTCAGGAATGAGCTGTCATTTTGTACTTTGTGCTGGGCTGAAAAAGGCAATTTTTAACAATGCTACACTGTGCTGAATAGGTTTCCAGAAATCTCAGTTTCTAAATTTTTACAGGTTTAAATTGAACTGCCTTTATGATCTGCTGCCTACTTTCTGATCCATTTTCATTTACTGTCAAAAGGTATTCAGCTCTGCCTGAGGTCTGTGTCAAGAAGAGCTTTGATACAATCTTCTGTCAGATGCAGGCTATCGGATGGACATGCTCTACAGTAACAATAGCAACAAAGTTATAGAAATTTTAAAATATAGCAACAAAAATTTCAGAACAATTTTTGTGCTGTCTGCTCCAGATTGGAGTTTTTGAAATTTTGGACACAATCCAAATGCCCCACAAATCAAAACTTTCCGGTATCTCAAGTAAGAAAATCTTTTTAAATGAAAGCAACAAGGAATAACCCGGCGTTTTGGAGAATGTCAAGAAAAGATTTTTCTGACAGCATTACTCCACCTGGCTACTGTTTCTAGCAAATTTTACTTAGTATTACCTTGTCTCCGGTGCTTAGAACTTAACATATTTTTCTGAAAGGGCTATATTGCAAGTCAGTATGGGAAGGGAAAAGGATAACAAATTCCCATTTGTTGCAGTGGTGTTTTTGCAATTTTTGAGAAGGAATGAAAACTTATGCTGACCTGTTCTGAAAACAGCAGCTTGCTGAGGAAAGGAAGACCTCCAGCCCTTGGGATATCATTATACAGTAGAAGGCAAGAATTGTTTCCAGTATCAAAATTGTACAGTATTTAGAAGCAAGTCCCCTTGGGACAGATTTTTAATTTATATTGCTGCATGGGAAATTCCCCTCCCTAGGGAAATAGATCATGTGTATACTGTCTTTGAGCAGAATACGTTCCTCCTAGGACCTCTTTGGTGTGTGTAATCTTAATTGCTAGTGACGAGTATGAGACAAAGACATGAAAAAATTCTGGTCCTGCTTTGAGTATCTTTTACACTTGTACGGGGTACTCAACAGAAAACCAAAGTGTTATTTGGACCTAGAGTACAGAACTTGTGTGATTTGTATATTCAGATTCAAGTTTCTGAACTATGCTATCACAGAATGGGTCAGGTTGGAAGGGATCACAGTGGGTCATCTGGTCCAACCTTCCGACTCAAGCAGTGTCATCCCAGAGCACATGGCACAAGATTGTTTCCAGATGGTTCTTGAATATCTCCAGTGAGGGAGACTCCACAATCTCTCTGGACAATCTGCTCCAGTGAGCAGTCACTTGCACTGTAAGGAAGTTTTTCCTCATGATCAGGTGGAACTTCCTGTGCATCAGTTTCTGCCCATTGCCTCTTGTTTTATTGGGTGGCACCACCGAGCAGAGCCTGGCTCCATACTCTTGACACCCACTCTTTAGATACTTACACACTTTAATGAGTCTCCTCTCAGTTGCCTCTTCTCAAGGCTGGACAGCCCACTCAGCCTTTCATTGTAAGAGAGATTCTCCAGACCCTTGACCAGTTTAGTAGCCCTCTGCTGGATGTGTGCCAGGAATTCCATGTCTCTCTTGTACTGTGGAGCCCAGAACACAGTACTTCAAATGCACAGTACTTCAAATGTGCCTCACCAGGGCCTTGACCTGCTGGCAATGCCCTTTCTAATGCATCCCAGGATTCTGTTGGCCTTCTTGGCCACCAGGGCACACTGCTGGCTCATGGACAGTTTGTTGTCCACTGGGACTTCCAGATCCTTTTCTCCAGCACTGCTGCTTTTATCCTCCTACAGTTGTGTACTGGTTGACATCATGCTTGAAGATTGTTAACTTCCTTAACCAGTTTTGTTTAACTGTGAGTGTGATGCAGGAAACAAGGTGTTCCCCTCTTTCTCTGCATAGGGAAAATGAGAACATATGGTCCCAGAGTGACCATGAAAAGACAAACAAGTGAGTCAAAACAGCGTTTTCTAATCCTTTACATTATGGCATTCTTTGCACTAGTACATTGTAACTAGGACTGCGCATGCATCGTGGTTGATTAAAGAAATGATTTGTAATTGTGAAGCAGTTGAGAGATATGTCTTGAGGGGAAATCAGTGAATTGCAGCTAATGCAAACCCTTCCTTCATCAAGCCAGATCTGTTTTTATTGTGTGAATACTAACCTTTATGATGGTAGCTGGAGGCCAAGCTATCAGTGGAAATGTGGTCAGTAACTGCTGAGGTAGTGACAAGAAATGACTGGAGGGTCCAAAAATATTGATAGTGGAATAGAATGTGGGATCCATGTGGCTATCCATAACTGGGGGAAAGAGGAAAACCCTCTGCTCTGGCAAAATTGGAGTAGAAAAGGCTTACCTTCAGGAGCTTAAACTTAGTGTGGTTTGAGAGGTTGGTGTCTTATGTAAAACAAACAACAAGTGCCAGGTCAATGCCATACAAGTACAAATTCCAGATTTCAGTTCTGCTGTCTTACACCTATCACGATAACTTCTATGAAAGGCAAGAAAAATTTGGAAGAGCATTTACAAGTAGATTTTTTTTTTCTTGAAATTAAAGATTTCTGTTGGTTTTTGTTTTTCTGTTTTTTTTTTTTTTTTTTTTTTTTTTTTTTTTTTTTTTTTTAAAAAAT